CAGGGTCGCAGGTAGGGCGACGGGGCCGACGCGTAGGCAGGGCGACGGGGCCGACGCGTAGGCAGGGCGACGGACACCCCCACAACCACCACCCCCACACCCTAAGTGTGCGGTAAGCGCGCTCAGGTGTGCGCGAAGCGTGCACAAGCCTGCGGGAAGCGAACTCGGGTGTGCGGAAAGTGAACTCAGGTGGGCGGGAAGGGGAGGCCGCAGGGCGACTCGAAGAAGTAAGTGAAGGGAGCACGACTCAAGGAGAGCGCGCTCCGGGCAGTAAAAAACAAATGTTCAAATTGGTGGGCCCTAGGCACAGTTCCCACTAGGGAACCTGCTTGATACCATGAGAAGATATGAACGAGAATGAATGAACTATGAAAGAAGTGAGTACAAGTACTAACCCTAATTGGGTTGTACCCCCTATGGGATACCCCACTATAGCCTACACAAATGTATAAGCTATATGACATTCTGACAGAGCCTCTGTGGGAGGGAACGAGGAGGAGTGAGGAGTGGCGCGCTGCCGCCCCTCGACGCAAGGAATGCAGGGCGGCACAGGCGAGGGAGGGAGGGCAGGCAGAGACCTAGGAAGACCAGAAACTAGAAAGCGAGAGTGCATGCTACGAAGGCGAGGCAGGGAGGGGTGTCCCAGGCGGTGGTGCCAAAGGAGGGTGTCGTGAGATAGCCGGCGACACTCACACTGGGTAGCTACCTGAGCAGACGCGTGCAGCTGGGGAGACAAAGGGGTGAAGCGGGACTCAATGGTGAGGGTGTACAGACTGGACCTTGGCGCACGTGTGAACGTGGCCAGGTGGCGGCCAGTCTGGGAGCACGTGAAGATTGCCACACGTTGTCGGCCAGGGGTGAAGGTGTCAACACCCGCATCCTGGAGGACAGCGTTGCTCACCAAGTTCGTAGAGAACGAGGGGAGGTGGAGACCAGACAGCTCACCAGACGGGACCGCCGGACACGGAAGCACAGTGGAAGACCGTGCAAGCACTGGGCCTCCAGAGGGGTCAGCCAGTGAGACAGGAACAGGTGCAGGAAGGGGAGTGACTGTGGTACTGTCGCGAAAGAAACAGCGGAAAGCACCAGAGTCAAGTGTAAAGGTGTGCAAGGCCTGTGCAAGCGCAGTACCAGGGGGAGCAGACTCACAAGCACCTAGTGCTGCAGAGGCTATACCAGGATCCGACGGCACACACAAGTAGCAGTCACCCTCAGCACTAACAGACAATGCATACATAGCAGCAATAATAGCCTCATAGTCAAGATCAAAGATTGGTACATCACGCCTAAGCAATTCTGCCCAGTTGGGGAACTCAGTAGCATCAGGAAACTTGGCGCGCCAGTCGTCGCTAAGTCGAGCGAAGCAGCGCTGCTCAGTGTGAAACCCTGTGCACTAGCGATTAGCGCGGGGACCTGTGCGGATCATATAGGGGCATCGACAAGGACCCCCAAAAGCCCCACGCCCGGCATACCTGTCAAGAAGCTGCTGGGAAGTGGGGGTCTGGCGCTGACGCTGCTGTTGCTGCTGCGGCTGCTGCTGGCCCTGACCACCACTGCCACCACCGCTCCCTCCTCCCCCACCGTCGCTGCTGCCCCCTCCACTGCCGCCAGTGCCTCCGCCGCCCCCACCACCACCTCCACCACCTCCACCCCCACGACCACCCCACCACCTCCACCGCCCCCGCCGCCTGCACCACCGCCACTTCCACCGCCGCCCCCACCTCCCCTGCCACCCTTGCCGCCCCTGCCGCTGCGACGCTTCCCACTAAGAGGGGAAGCAGCCCCGACCTCCTCAGCACCAAGGTAGTCGTGAGCAGCAGCTGCGGAGGCATAGGAGGGGGTGAGAGGGGAGGGGGGGCACCCCTCAAAGAGGGGAGAGCGCGAAGTGCCACGAGCAGCACCTACAGCGAGAACGTTCTTTTCTGCTGCTAGGAGGTGCTTCTCGAAGTCGTCGACAGTGAGAGTAGGGGGGTCGAGTGCTAGGAAGTGGTCCCTGACCGAGCTAAGAGTGTCAGGGAGGCGGGTGACGAGGAAATAGAGAGTGATGTACATCGGGGGGGGGGGGGGGGGGGGTTGCATCGCAGAACTCGGCTGAAAGGGCGACACGAAAGCGGGTGTCAGTAGCACGCAGGTTAGAAATGAGGTCCTCAGCGGTGGTGAACGAGGAAAGGTCGGGGAATAGGTAGGGTAGCATGAGCCGTCCTATGGTTGCAGTGGCCGGGGAGGGGTAGCGTGCAACTACAGCATCGTATAGTGCCTTAGCAGTTTTGTGCTGGCTGAAATGCGCGCGCTCAGGAATCGGCAGATGGTTCCTAATAGCTAGGCGTGCTGCATCATCGCGAGTCTGCCACTGTGAGCGTTCGAGAGCAGGAGCATCGGCACTAGGGGCAACGGCAGTGCCGGACACGTAATCGAACAGTGAGACACCCTCTTTAGCATCAATCAGAAGGAACAGTTGCAGGTCGTCAAGCCACACTGCGAACTCTATGGGGCGACCTTCAGGCTTGAGCGCAAGATAATTAGGCGTCGTCATATCGGCAGCAGGCAAAAGCAGGTAGCTGACAGGGGGCACTAGACAGTAGGCCACAGGCAAAGACAAAGACAGCAGGCAGTAGACAGCAAGCTCAGACAGAGGCAGTAGGCAGTAGGCAACACAGGCAACGTGATGGGCAGTAGCAGGCCGCAATCGAGCTCCTAAGGTGGCGCTCTAGACAGTAGCAGGCCGTGCAACCCTAAGGCAGCGGGCTCGGCAGCAGCAAGCCGCACAGGCAGGCACACGAGCAGGGCACGCGCGGCTGCTGGCTGTGTGCGGCTGAGGGTTGCGCGCGGCTCCTGGCTGTGCGTGGTGACAGGCTGCGTGCGGCTCCTGGTTGCGTGTGGCGATGGGCAGCGCGCCCGACTGCGTGCTGCGTGTGGCGACGGGCCGCGCGGGCGTAACCTAAGCAGGCTATGCGCGGGCGGTGTAAGGGGCGCACGGGCGGGGCCAAAACGGGCGTCGCGGGTGGGTCTAAAACGAGGCGCGCGGGCTGCTTAAGATGCGCGCGCGGGGAAAAAAAAAGGCCACGCGCGTGCAACCGAGGCGCGCGCAGGCTCTAGGCAGGGTAGGTACGTTTTTAGTGAGGTGAAATAGGTAACGGTGTGCCCTAATCCTAGGTCCTAAGGACCTATGCTCTATATGCCATGTTAAAGCTTAGGCAAGGTGAGTTTGGACTATCGAGAGTTTGGTACAAAAAGAAAAGCCTATGGGGTTGTACCTCACAGTGAGTAACCCACTAAATCCTACCTAAACTACAACAAATAAACATATGTTTGACAGGCGATGACAGTGGAAGCTGCTACGAGTACCTGTCTGAATGATATAGGGGCAGGGAGGGTGGGCGTCACCAAGCGACAGCTGACGCGGTCCTGACCCCTGCTGCTGCCCCTGCTGCTGCTGTCGCGGAGCTAGGTACCAAGCCGCCACTCCAGTACCTGCAGCTGGCAGTCTCGCAGGTGCCCGAATAACCCAAGCGGCACCTCCACTAGCCGCTGTGGGGGAGTCACTGGACATGGCACCAGGCGAGGTCATGAAACAGGAAGGGAGGAACAGGAGACCAAGAGAGACAGTGGTGGGAGAAGTCTAGTGGGCCTTGATCGCCGTCTGGAACTCACTAGCCTTGCGAAACTGGGTGAAGTGGGTCTTCTCAGTCTCAGGGAGGAGGCTGCTGAGGGCGATGCAGGCTGCAGTGTCGCGCGACTCCTAGGCAGTCAAGGCAGCACGGTAACATGCAAAGCGATCTCTGTCACTAGGAATACAACGTCTGACACTTTCCTACATATTGTACCCCTCTCCATATTGCAACCCCCTTCTTTGTTGGCCAACTTCTCTCACTCCCCAAACTCTATTGCTCCTAACTAGCCTACTACCTTGACACGTCACACCACATTGTGGCGGTTTATTCGCGTAGATATGACAATAAGTAGTATGGTATGGGACTATGATAACAGGATAAAGGATTTAAATGCTTGAAAGGGCAAGAAATGTTATTATTGGAGGGTGGAACGCCCTTTATATTGTACGCATCCACATTTATAGCTTATACAAGAGACAGGATGCAATTGTCAACTGAATATAAGCCCTAGTTAACTTTCTTGTATGCGTTCCATCTATCTCACCTGAATGCGAGGCGCACTTCAGACGACTTTGTGATTGAATCAAGAGAACCCACTTCGCTGCAACGCACCGCCCCCCCGTTTGTGCCTGCATATTCGATAAGAAAACGGTTGCGATACGCCATTGTCAAGCTTACTAAGTCACAGGACCAATCAGAGCTAGCATGGCGCACAGCCATTGGCTGCTACATATTCGCGTGTCGAATGGGTCGCATAACGACACTTGTGTCCTCCCGAGAAGTCGCATCAACCCTTGACCAGGCTCGGCTTGTGCCATCCATCGACAGTCGCAGCGGATGTACTGCGACCGGGACGCATAACCCTGGGTCGCATGGTCGTCCACGCGACCATCTCTACCGCACGATGCGGGGTCAAGAACGCCTTCTGATTCGTCATCCCAGCCCTGACGCGTCCTACCTGTCATTCACCTCAACTGCGCTTTGGCTGTCCCGAGTCGCATCTCTAATTTCTCCATTCGAATTGTGATTCAATCTGCTTCCTCTTCGACTCCCCCAGCCAACCACTCCATCCACTTGCACGAAGATTCTGAATCGCCCAGTCGCCTCTAGCCTTCCGCGCATGTGCCGCTCCCTTCAATCCCAGCCAAGCCCCCAGCTACCCTTGTCGCCCCTCCACCACCTTCACTGTCTCACTTGCCATCCGAACAGCCTCCTTTTCTTATAATGTGAAAACATTCCACACTTCACCCAGTGAGGCGGCAAAAAGCTGCTAGAAGCTTCTGACATAGTAGTGGTTGTAGCTGACATTGCGAATTTGGCTCGGTCGATTGAGTATCCTAGAGTGATAGAAAGGAAGCGCCCCCTGCGCGTTTGAGCTGGGAGGCCGCTATGGAGCACAACACAGGTCTAGTGGCGGGCAGCCACAACCGGAACCACCTAGTCGTTATCCGGAAGGATTCCCAAGTGGTAATTCATCCATCCGTTCCACTTTACTAGTTTCTCTGGGGTCGACTGGAATTTTTAACTCCTGAGTTCGCGGCTGTCGAAAGGATCGTTTCCGATTTTCGAACCGTCACAGAACGGAGACTAGCAATTGTTACCGCACTTTGCACGCATTCCTCGTCAATAATATTCTTACGTGCAATCATCCACATCCTCCCGGATTCTCTCTTTATTCTGCTGCTGATTCTATGTCCTCTCCGCAGCCGCTGAACCAAGTGCTTTTTGTCATTGGCCCCACATTCCTAACGACCTTACTGTATTTCTGTTGCTATTTCTCCGTTTGTTGATCCGCAGTCGCACAACCCGACGTTTAATCCGATCATCTGCCAAATCTGTGGCGACGACGTGGGTCAGTTCGTGGAGGGCGGCATCTTCGTGGCGTGCCACGAGTGCGCGTACCCCGTGTGCCGCCCCTGCTACGACTACGAGCGCAAGGAGGGCAGCCGCGCGTGCCCGCAGTGCAAGACGTTCTACAAGCGATATAAGGGTATGTGCTACTATCGAGTCAATGCGAGCATGTGCCCGGAGCGCAGACGTGTCGTGAACGACGTAGTATTGCTCGCACTTCTACCTTTTTATTACCGTGCAGCTTTCGCACCGGAAGCCCATACATTCACGACGACAGCTTGCGTTTCGCCTCTAACATAGAGGCCTCTATTCACACGCGATTTCTCCACAGGGAGCCCGCGCATTGACGAAGATGACGACGACGAGGACGACGATGAGGAGAGGAGCGACCGCGGAGGCGACAGGGGTGGCGCATCTCTGGACGTCCCTACGACGTCGTACGCGTCGTACGTGTCGCACAACGCGCAGGCGTCGTCGCAGTATCCGATGCTGACGTCCAACCAGGTCAACCCGGATCAGTCCGTCGCAACGGAGTACAACCCCGGCGCTATGGTGCCGGCCGGTACGATTCCGCCGCCCTCGGATTACAACAAGTACGAGCGTACGCCTAGCCGTACGCCCAGCCAGACACCGAGCGCCAACGACATGGCCAGTAAGTTGACGCCGAAACGCTAATGGCATACATATGGCCTTTGAAAACCAAGAAATATAGATTCTAGCAACTGCTACCTTCGTAAACTCTCTGCTATCGCTTTCATCTAATCATATGTACTTCCGCGTCTGTCTGCAGTGGAGCTCCGTGCCCCCAGCTACGGGTACGGCAGCGTCGTCTGGAAGGATCGCGTGGAGTCGTGGAAGCAGCAGCAGGGTCGCATGGTAGTCGGCGACGGCAACGGAGCAGAGGAAGTTTCCGCAGGCGCCACTGCGGAAGGCGATCTCCCGTCCATGGACGAATCCCGTCAGCCTCTGTCGCGCAAGGTTCACTATCCGTCATCTCTCATCAGCCCGTACCGTCTGGTTATCGTGATTCGGCTGGCGGTTCTCGTTTTCTTCCTTCGCTGGCGGTGCCTGAATCCCGTCGACGGGGCGTGGTGGCTGTGGCTGATTTCGGTTATCTGCGAGGTCTGGTTCGCGTTTTCGTGGATTCTCGATCAGTTCCCGAAGTGGATGCCAATCAAGCGAGAGACGTATCTGGACCGTCTGTCGCTGCGTTTCGATCGGAAGGGCGAGCCTTCGCAGCTGGCGGCCGTAGATCTTTTCGTGTCGACGGTGGATCCGCAGAAGGAGCCCCCGCTCACCACGGCGAACACGCTTCTCTCCATCCTGTCCGTTGATTATCCCGTCGACAAAGTTTCGGCTTACGTGCACGACGATGGTGGCGCGATGCTGACTTTCGACGCGATGGGCGAAACGGCGGAATTCGCGAGGCGCTGGGTTCCATTCGCGAAGAGATACAGCATCGAGCCGCGGGCACCCGAAGTGTACTTCACGCAGAAAGTTGACTACCTCAAGGACAAGGTTGACCAGGATTTCGTCAAGGATCGTCGCCAAATGAAGGTGCGTTTCGGTTCGGGTGACCACCATTCTCGAAATTAATTTAGCACGAGAGACGCGCCTCAGGGTATTCTATGTTGCCTTTTTTCTCTCGAAATTGAATGCGCACCTCTACGCAGATAGTCATCGAATTTCCCACTTCCCCGGGTCTCTGATTCTGTTTCCTGGTACCCATCCCTCCTGCTACAGAGGGACTACGAGGAGTTCAAGATCCGCATCAACTCTCTCGTCGCGCGCTCGCACAAGATGCCTGAGGACGGCTGGGTGATGCAGGACGGCACGCCGTGGCCCGGCAGCAAATCCCGCGACCATCCCGGCATGATCCAGGTTTTCCTCGGCCCCAGCGGCGGAACCGACGTGGATGGTAACCCGCTTCCGCGACTGGTGTACGTGTCTCGCGAGAAGCGCCCGGGTTACAACCACCACAAGAAGGCCGGTGCTATGAACTCGCTGATTCGCGTGTCGGCGATTCTGTCCAACGCGCCGTACATGCTGAATCTGGATTGCGATCATTACCTCAACGACAGCAAGGCGCTGCGCGAGGCCATGTGCTTCATGATGGACCCGAACGTGGGCAAGAAGTGCTGCTACGTGCAGTTCCCGCAGCGATTCGACGGCATTGACCCCAACGATCGTTACGCCAACCACAACACCGTCTTCTTCGATGTAAGCCTCCTCCCATCCTCTCCATAAGCTTCTTCGTTTCACTTTCCATTTATGCCCGTCCATTTTCTCCGTTGCACTACCAGCTGTTGGCTTGCGGTGCTGACTGCTGCTAACCCTCTCGTTCATCCTGATTCTCACACCAACAGATCAACTTGCCAGGGCTCGACGGTATTCAGGGCCCATGCTACGTGGGTACCGGTTGCTGCTTCCGTCGCCACGCGCTGTACGGCTACGAGCCGCCCAAGAAGGAGAAGAAGGCGCGGTGCGGCGGGCTCATGTGCTCGTGCTTCAGCTGCTGCGCGGGCGACCGCGGGAAGGAGGGCGGAGGCAAGCGCAAGAAGCTTCCGGACGGCACGCCGTTGCCCGCCGGCGCTGAGGCCTTCCTGGGAGACGACGATGGTGAGTTGACTCGTGGATTCGTTGCCTGTAATATTGAATCTGGTTTGAGAATAGGAGAAGACGCCTCGCACTCCTCCCCTCCCCTTGCCAGTCATAATTTTCTCCTCTTCGTGTTCTCTGTTCTGTTCCACAGTTGAAGGCGACAGCCTGTTGGCGCTCAAGAAGTTCGAGAAGAAGTTCGGCCAGTCGCCCGTCTTCGTGCTCTCTACGTTCCACGAGGAGGGCGGCGGCGTGGCTTCTGCCAGTCCCGGGTCCACTCTTAAGGAGGCCATCCACGTCATCTCGTGCGGCTACGAGGAGAAGACGGAGTGGGGCAAGGAGGTATGCCTCGTCCCCATCCATACCATCTTGTTCGTTGCCCTTTTCTATTGTGTCCAGTGTCCATGTCTCTGCACCCGTACCAACATGTTTTCTTCCCTCCACCCTCGTTCCCTCTCCCTTACAGCTTGGCTGGATCTACGGGTCGGTCACTGAGGATATTCTGACGGGCTTTAAGATGCACGCACGCGGCTGGCGCTCCATCTACTGCAAGCCGAAGCGCGCCACCTTCAAGGGAGGAGCGCCTATTAATCTGTCCGACCGTCTGCAGCAAGTGCTTCGGTGGGCGCTTGGGTCAGTGGAGATCTTCCTGTCCCGCCATTGCCCCATCTGGTACGGCTGGAAGGGCAACCGCCTCAAGATGCTTCAGCGGCTCTCTTACATCAACACCGTCGTTTACCCGTTCACGTCCTTCCCGCTGCTCATGTACTGCATGCTGCCCGCCATCTGCCTGCTGACCAATAAGTTCATCATCCCGTACCTGGATACAGTTTCCACGCTCTACTTCATCGCGCTTTTCCTCAGCATCTTTGCAACGGGTCTGCTTGAAATGAGGTGGTCCAAGGTCAGCATGACCGAGTGGTGGAGAAACGAGCAGTTCTGGGTCATCGGAGGGGTGTCGGCGCATCTTTTCGCTGTTTTCCAGGGCATGCTGAAAGTGCTAGCTGGTATCGACACCAACTTCACGGTTACAGCTAAGCAGGCGGAGGACGGCGAGTTTGCTGAGCTGTATCTGTTCAAGTGGACGTCGCTGCTCATCCCTCCTCTCTTCCTCATCATCTTCAACGTCCTCGGGATTGTTGCGGGAGTTGCAGTCGCGATGAATTCCGGAACCGCGGAGTGGGGCGATCTGTTCGGAAAGCTCTTCTTCGCCTTCTGGGTGATTGTTCACCTTTACCCCTTCATGAAGGGTCTCGGTGGGCGCAACGCCAAGATCCCCACGATCGTGATCGTGTGGTCGGTGCTGCTCGCCTCCATCTTCTCCCTCCTCTGGGTCAAGATCAGCCCCTTCGCCCCTAAGAGCGAGGGCCCCTCGCTCGAGTCCTGCGGCATCTCTTGCTAAGTGTTGGTCATCTGCAGTGGCGCTTCCCCCAAGCGAGTTCCCTCACTCCACGATTTAGAATAGAGTCAGCAACAGCAGCAACAGAGGTAGCAAGAACAAGGTTGAGGTAGCTTTTGTTAGGGATGTTGGTTTTGAGGGATGCTATTTAGGCCTAGAGAGATGTACTTATGCTGTTTTCTTTGGTGATTGCCTTTCAAGTCTGAAAGAAACCGCCCTGGGTTAACTAAAGCCACAGACTCAGCTTAGCGAGTTAAAACCAGAGCCTAGGATCAATCCGACGGGCTCGGAGCAAGGATTCCGTAGCAACTTAGATCACTGAAATCGCCAAAGAGTTGAGAGAGAAAATGTTGTTTATATGAAGATAGGTATACAAGTCGTACAAGGAATGAACTTTCTGTTTTGCTCTTTGGATTTATAACTAAAACACTCATGCAGAATTGTAACATCGAACCGCGCGCGACTCGCCAGAAATTCGGACTCAGGATCGCGTCTAATTTCCGCGACGTCCGCGTTCATAATTTCGGACTTTGCCGGGTTCGTTTCTTCACGCCGACAATCGTGTGTTACAAGGATCAATAGCGAGTGTAGCGAAATGTTCGTAACATTTGCTTGCACCCTCGCTATTTTCGTGCATGCTTGTGGGGCTGCCAAGTGTCGCCCCCACAAATGTTCGGACTCAATCCGGGGAAAGTTCGGTTGCGTGGCGACGCGGACAATCCGCCGTCACCCCAACCTTCCAAGAACGAACCCTCCCTTGGTCCGAGTCAAGGGAGGTCTTCGCGTGGGGGGCAATCCCGTCCCCCACACTTCCAACACTCCCCCTTGCACCCCACACACACCTAAGCATGCAAGCCTACCCTAGCACAACATGCATGAAGAGCATCTCTAGGCAATGGCTTGGTGAGAAAGTCCGCGGGTTGGGAGTTGGTCTTGATGTAACGAAGCTCGACTTCGTTGTCTTCAACGAGCTTGCGAATGAAGTGGTGGCGGATTTGAATATGCTTGGTCCTTCCATGAAGGACCGAATTCTTGGCTAGGCCAATGGCGGCTTGGTTGTCCACGTAGATGGGAGTGGGGCCTTCTTGTTTGTGCCCAAGCTCGGCAAGAAGGCGACGTAACCAAACCGCTTCCGTACCACCACGAGTGAGCGCCACATACTCCGCTTCGGTGGAGCTAAGTGCAATCAAGTTTTGGCGCTTGCTTTGCCAACTTATTGCACCTCCCACGAGGGTGAAGATGTAGCCCGAAGTGCTTTGGCGGGTTGAAGGATCTCCCGCCCAATCCGCATCCGTGTAGCCTTGTAGCACCACGGGTCCCTTCTCGTAGTGCAACCCCATACGAGTGGTCCCCTTGATGTAGCGAAAGAGACGTCGTGACGCTCGCACATGCTCGACCATGGGGTTGGAGACGACACGTCCAAGCACTCCAACGGGAAAGGAGAGGTCGGGTCGCGTGCTCACCGCGGCATACATGCATGACCCAACAACCGAGTGGAAGGTCTTGGCGCTCTCGGGATCCATCGGGTTTTCATCGCTCACCGCCAAGGGATGAAACGCCGCTTCCGTAGGTGTCGGTGTAGGCTTGCTCTCGATCATGCCGAAGCGATCCACCACACTCTCCAAGTACTTATGTTGGTGGAGAGCGAGGGTCTTGTTCCCTCGATCGCGATCAATGTGCATCCCTAGGTATTGGAAGACGGCGCCGAGGTCACGCATGGAGAATTCGGCGGCAAGCTTCGTCTTCACGTCCGCTACAAGGGTCTTGCAATCCGACACGAGGAGAAGGTCGTCAACGTAGAGGAGAAGAACGAGCTTCTTTTCGTCCTTGTTGAGCACGTATAGCGCGTGGTCACACTCGCTCCGCACGAACCCCAAGGAGAGCAAGTGATCGTCGATCCTCGTGTACCACGCACGAGGGCTTTGCTTGAGGCCGTAGATCGTGCGCTTGAGCTTGCACACGCGGTCGGAGTCGTCGTCGAACCCGGGAGGTTGCTTCATGTACACCTCCTCCTTGAGACGACCGTAGAGAAATGCCGTCTTCACGTCGAGTTGTTCCACCTCCAAGTCGAGTGCTCCCGCCAACGCCAAGAGAGTGCGCAACGTAGCGGATTTAGCGACGGGAGCGAACGTCTCGTTGTAGTGAAGACCCTCCTTTTGAGTATAACCTTGCGCCACCAACCGCGCCTTGTACCGCTCCACTTCTCCGTTGGGGCCGAGCTTCTTCTTGAAGACCCAACGAGAGCCAACGAGGTAGGCGCCGGGGGGCATGGGGACGAGCTCGTAGACGTCGTTCGCCATGAGCGAATCGTACTCCGCTTGAAGCGCACGTTCCCATTCCGCCGCTTCCGCCGAGCTCATGGCGCCTTGGTAGGTGGACGGTGTGTCGGTGTATGCCTCAAGACACATAGCATCTCCCCCTCCCTTATCATCCCCCGCCACAAGAGAGTAGTCATCCAACTTGGAGTTGGGACGAGGAGTCCTCCGAGTGCGAGTGGATGCGAGGGTGGGAGTGATTTTAGGAGGAGGAGATGAAGGGTCACTTTCCTTGGCATGTTCTTCATCCGCACTCACTCCAACCGCACCCGATCCATTCTCCCCCTCACTCGTACGAGGAGGAGAAGCCGTAGGAGCAACATCCGCCTCATCCGCGGCATCCAAGGGGGGAGGGACAATGATGACCGAGGGCACGTGCATCAACTTGGACGGGAAGGTGTCTTCGTAGAACACCACGTCGCGCGACACCACGAGCTTCCCGTGCTCCAAGTCCCACACACGCCACGCCTTGTGATCCGCGCTTGGACCCAAGTACATCGCCACCCGCGCCTTCGCCTCAAGCTTGGTCCGTGTGGCATCCGGGACATGGTAGTAGCACGTACACCCAAACGTGCGAAGGTCGGTGACGTCCGGCTTCGTACCGCTCCAAGCCTCAAGAGGCGTCGTGTTCGGCAACGCCTTGGTCACGCACCGGTTGCGAATCCATGTTGCCAACGTAACCGCCTCACCCCACCAATGCTTCTCCGCGTGAGCATGGGAGAGGAGACTCCGTGCCGACTCCATGAGCGTGCGGTTCAAGCGTTCGGCCGCACCGTTTTGTTGAGGCGTGTACGGCGTCGAAAACTCATGCGCGGTCCCACGCCCTTCCAACCAATCGCCGAGCTCCCGAGCGGTGTATTCGCCACCGCCATCCGAGCGAAGGCGCTTCACCTTGAAGCCGCTTTCCGTCTCCACATCCGCTACCCATTTCTTGATAGCGGTTGACGTGGCGTCCTTGCTCTTGAGAAGCCGAATCCAACACATCCGCGTCGCGTCGTCAAGGAGCGTGAGGACGTAGCGCGCGCCGCCCTTCGACGCGGGAGTGATGGGTCCACACAAGTCGGTGTGAACGAGCTTGAGAGGTTCGGTGGCGTTGGGCTTCGTGCTTGGTGGAAATGGCTTCCGAGCCATTTTCCCTTCAAGGCAACCGACACACTTCTCGTCGTCTCCACTCGAGCGCACAAACTCCAAGCCATCGACAATCCCCGTCGTTGCCATAGCTTGAATAGCGGCGTGGTTGAGGTGGCCATACCGATTATGCCACGTCGAGAGAGTTGTTGTCGAGGTAGCCGCTTGAGCCGTCGCCACGCTCGGAAGAGCGTCGAGCATGAAGAGTCCTCCCGCTTGGCGTGCCGTGCCGATGTGTACGCCGTCCGCCGTGCTCAACGCCATCGTGGTCCCTTCAATATTCACACGCATCCCCTTGCGTGTAAATTGGGAAACGGATAGGAGGTTGGCGCCGAGCCCGGGAACCACCAAGACGTTCTTGATGGTGAGTGGACCGCCGTCCACCATGAGCCGCAAGTCGCCTTGTCCCGTGACATCCAAGGTGTCACGGTTGCCGAACATCACGCGCCTAACGGGAGCCACCGTTGTCACGTTGTTGAGAAGCGTCGCGCTCGCCGTCATGTGTTGAGTAGCACCCGTATCGAGTATCCACGCGTCAACACCACCGACGGTCGTTCCACTTGCGACGAAGATGAACTCCCGGTCGTTGTTGTCGCATGTCGCCACATGCGCGCGCCGGTTGTCGTCACTTGAAGACGGCCTCCAATTTGCCGGTTTAAGGGACAATCGCGCCACCAATGTCCCGTCTTCTTGCAAAACCGACAAGCTCCATCTCGCGCCCGAGCTCGATTGGCGTTGGCCGATCCTCCTCGTGATGAGCTTGAGGTCGCCGTGCTCCCGTTCGAACTCCCGCGGTTGTTGCCGTCGTTGCGCCGCTTGAAGTGACCCGACCCTTTCGCCTTCGCATCGCGGGAGAAGTGTGCCGCGCCGATTGCATCGCCATGCAACTTCGCGCGCCTCGCCTCTTCGTTGATGAGGCGTGCCACCACTTGCTCCTTCTTCCATGTATCTTGCGTCCCATCCAACATCGTGATCACCGTTGACCATGCTTCACCGAGGCCCGCGAGGAGCGTCATGATCCAATCGTTGTCCTCCACGCTCGCGTCGAGTTCCACCAAACGCTCGCCAAGCTCCTCCACGCGGTTAACGTACGCGCGTATTGACTCGCCGTCCTTCATCCGCACCGTGAAGAAGTCGAGGCGCGCTTGAAGCTTGCTATGAAGTGACTTGGAGACGTGCTCTCCTTCGAGTCGCTTCCACGCTTCACGAGTCGCGCCGTCACGGTCGATGCAAGGGCTCACGATCGGGACGAGTTGGAGGCTTAGCTTGGAGACAAGAAAGGCAAACGCCTTTTTGTCCTTGCGCACCCACGCTTCCTTCTCCGCGGTTGAAGCGTCCGACGTGGGCTTCGATGCCGACCCATCGAAGAATCCCGACAAGTCGCGCTCCATCATGTAGACTTTCAACTTGAAGCGCCACGAGGAGAAATGTTCCCCGGTAAAAATTGGCACCGCGCTCAAGTCGACAACGTGCGGCGTTGTCGAGAAGTCTATTGGGAGGGAAGGGGCCGTTGGCGTATTCGTCGTCGACGAATTATTGGAGGAACCCATGGCGTAGCAACGCTTGAGCGAGCACTCCTAATCTAGCTCTGATACCATGAAAGAAACCGCCCTGGGTTAACTGAAGCCACAGACTCAGCTTAGCGAGTTAAAACCAGAGCCTAGAATCAATCCGACGGGCTCGGAGCAAGGATTCCGTAGCAACTTAGATCACTGAAATCGCCAAAGAGTTGAGAGAGAAAATGTTGTTTATATGAAGATAGGTACACAAGTCGTACAAGGAATGAACTTTCTGTTTTGCTCTCTGGATTTATAACTAAAACACTCATGCAGAATTGTAACATCGAACCGCGCGCGACTCGCCAGAAATTCGGACTCAGGATCGCGTCTAATTTCCGCGACGTCCGCGTTCATAATTTCGGACTTTGCCGGGTTCGTTTCTTCACGCCGACAATCGTGTGTTACAAGGATCAATAGCGAGTGTAGCGAAATGTTCGTAACATTCGCTTGCACCCTCGCTATTTTCGTGCATGCTTGTGGGGCTGCCAAGTGTCGCCCCCACAAATGTTCGGACTCAATCCGGGGAAAGTTCGGTTGCGTGGCGACGCGGACAATCCGCCGTCACCCCAACCTTCCAAGAACGAACCCTCCCTTGGTCCGAGTCAAGGGAGGTCTTCGCGTGGGGGGCAATCCCGTCCCCCACACTTCCAACAAAGTCCTTGTATTGCTATGCAAGCAAAACAATCATTTGGCTCTGTCCGTTACCCAGAACTAGGTGGCTGTCCGCCACAAGGCCCCTGTTGTGCTCCATAGCGGCCTCCCAGCTCAAGAGGGCAGGGGGCGCTTCCTGTCTATCACTCTTGGAAATACTCAACTCGACTGATCCAAATTCGAAAGAACTACAACCACTGTGGGGTTTCACTGGCTTCGAGAGGATGGAGTGGTTTGGCTGGGGAAGGCGAAGAGGAAGCAGATTGAATCAAATCGAATGGAGAAAATAGAGATGCGACTCGGGACAGCGAAAGCGCAGTTGAGCTGCATCACAGGTAAAACGCGTCGGGGCTGGGCTGTCGCTATACAGCTGATGCTCACCCCATGCACGCGAAATTGCCATGCACTGGATCGAAACGCTGCCCCCGAGCAGGAAACCCCCGCTTGCTGCTCCCACAGTACAAGCCCCCGGGGTGGCAGGAAACAGTGCGCGCGACTCGGACAGTTTAACACGTGCAGTCCCGAACAACCAACGCCAACCCTGCTGTGCCCCGTTTCCAGGCCAGGAGCCTGCACCGCGAAAGTGAGTGGACGAAACGAACGAGGCCTCGTGAACGCAATCGCCAATCCACCCCGCCACCTAGGCACAGATCATTGTGCGTGTAACAGACAACGTGGGCAAATTCACGATCCCACGTGTAATCTGCCTGTGCTGGGTACAAGCGTTATTGTAGCCAGGCATTGTTCTCATACACCACGTCAGACAATTGAACGTAAGGTTACCAACCTAACACGTCAAATGTGCAAGCCAGGTGCATGGAACGAACTCCAACCACACGTACAGTTCCAAGCCCCAAAGAACAGACCCCAACCTTGTCCCAGGTGAATTCGAACTCAGGATAAAATGTGAACAACAATTTCACTAAGACAGTTAGTTCACTCACCTCATCCTGACACAATGCCCCGATTTAATCGACGGGAACAGCTGCCGCTCCACATCAAGCGCGCCATTTGCGCGCACCACGTCGAACACCCCGTCCTGCGCCATGTCGACCTAGCTCGATGGTGTTTCTCCCAGTACGGGTTGCGCCCGGATCGCTCTACGATCGGCCGCATCCTAAAAACCGCCGAGCGATGGGCTGTGACGTCCGACGGCGACAACCCGGTGCGCCGTCGGGGAGGCGCCTGGCCTGAGCTGGAGCAGGCCATGGGGCGGTGGATAGCAAACGCAGGACCCGCCGGTGTGCCCCTCACACTCCAAACCATCCGCGACCATGTCGCGGCGATGGCCAGGAACATGGGCATTCCGCCCACCTTCCGATGCTCGATCGGCTGGGTGCGCCGTGCATTGCGGCGCCAGGGCGTGAGATGCCGTGCGGCACAGGGCGAGGCCGCCAGCGCAGATATGGCGGCCGTGCGCGACGCCCGTGAGAAGATGCCGCGAATCCTCACGCAGCTCGGCGTCGCCCCGCGCGACACCTTCAACCTCGACGAGACTGCTCTCTGGCTGTCGGTGCTTCCGCGGCGCACGTACAGCAACGGCCGCATACCAGGCCGCAAGGTCTCGAAGGAGAGATGTGCTCGGGTGGCTGTCGGAGTCGTGGACCTCCGTCGGCGCGCGCACCATTCAACGGTGCTGGTGGCGCACGGGGTGTCTTCCCCTCTCGTGGTCACTGGAGCTGCCGCACGTGCATGACGACGAGCCCATCCCCGCAGCTTATCCCGACATCGAACTCGACGATGACATCGATGATGTCGGGACGCTTATTAACAGGCTCGCCCTCGGGGATGCGGCAATGACGGCGGCGGAATACGTCGCCATCGACGACGCGGAGCCCACGTGTGCGGAAGGCACGACACACCCGCCCGTGACAGAGGAAGAGATGCGCTTGGAGGTGGAGCTCTGGCAGGCGCCGACGACCATGCAGGCCGTCTACGACGACGCCGACCCCGTGTGCCGTGAAGCGCGCCGCACTGCTCGTGCGGCGTGCGAGATCCTCATCGGCTACGCCCGGGCCACCCGCATCACTCCGCGCGATCTGTGCGCTCTTTTCGACATCCGCAATCCAATCATAATCGCGCGGATGGAGCGGGCGAGCCCGGGATTCAATCTCAACGTGGCGCCGCAGCCCGTACCCTCCCCCGGCGCAACCCCCACTCCCGAGACCCCTCGTCCGCGGGGCCGTGTGCTGCCCGACTGGATGACCCGCCCGTCCCGCCGTCAGCAACTGCTTGATGCCGGGGTGGGCGCCGTGATGGACGGCTATGTGGATGCAGCTGAATGGATGCGTCTGTGAGAGGGGGTGGAGCAGCCAGAGCAAAGTGTCGAGTGAATTTTGCAGGGCCCCAGTGATCAAACATTGTGCCCATTTCAGTGTGTTTCGTTTCGTGTGTTGTGTTGCTATGGGGGGCCACGTGGGAGTTGTTGATTGGATGTCTATGTTGTGTTAGTTGTTTCTCACCTCGAGGAATAATTGATGTGCACGCCTGATTCATTACTATAGTGGTCGTGTAGTAACATTGAACACACGAAGGAGACAAGCACGACAAACCCCCACTGTTACGAAACAAACAAAAGGTGAGGTAACCATTTGCAGGTTAGAGGCACGGGATACGCGTGACGAAACGAACGAACCTCTGGCGAAATGAGTTTTAGCTTATAGTCCTAGAGCACAAGGCAACCGGGAGGGGCTCTAACGAGCATCAGGTGTACAACCCATTCGACGCGCGAATATTGAACAATCAATGGGTGTGCGCCATAACAACTCTGATTGGTCTGTGACTTTGTAGACTTGACGAAGGCGTATCGCAGCCCTCTCTTATTGAATGGACGGGCTCGAGGGGGCGGTGCCCCTGAGCTATGCGCCTATTCTCGATTCAATCACAAAGCCCTTCGAGAAAATGACAAACCAAACCATTTACATATATCTTACAAGAGTACAGCGCTCAAGATGCGGTATAGTCTGTTGATAATTATTTTGCCAGCTACATCCTCTAATGATTGTACGTGTTTAAGTGTGGTTCAAAGCTTTAGAGCTGACATACATCATACTACCACCATCAACGTTAGGGGCAAAGTCATTGCAACAATATACCCGAGAAAAAAATGTAGATACATATGTGCACATTAGCTATATGAGTGTGAAACAGCTGAAATTTAGCTGCTGTCTTCTTGTCAAGCAGAGACCGCTCCAAGGTCTACATGATATTGTGCTGCACAGCACATAACCCCCTCGTATTCCACAGTACCTTCATCCTCCCTCAGTCATATGTCTGCCTCAACTGCATCTCTGTCTCACTCTTCCATGTGGCATGCGATGATTGGCCCTTCATTCGCTTCGATTTCTCCTTGTCCTTGACTTTACTGTCCCCTTCCCGCCTTCTTGCTTTCTCTCTGCCCGCTGCCACGTCAGCGTCCCCTGCTGGCCTATCGCGGCAAATCGGGCAGACCACACCCTGCCCCGAGGAAGGAGTTTTAGGAACCTGACAGGTCGGGCAGATCCTGCAGTGTTTGGGGCGTTCGGGCAGAGTGAGAAAGGGGAAAAGGGAGAGGTGTGGGTGAAGTTATTACTAAAACAAAAACAAGACTAAATGAAGTCAAAACTGGGACTAGATGATAAAACTTGAAAAAACTGCCCAGCTCGACCACCAAGCCAGTTTGAGACGTCTCAAAACTAATGTAGTCAAAATCTGGGAATATACAATTGTAAACAAGACTTAAATCAAGTCAACAGTAAAACTTGAAAACAACTGCCCAGCTCGACCACCAAGCCCACCTTTTCTCCCTCCCCCCACCCCCCATCCCCCTTCCCCCTACTCTCCCCTTCACTTACCCATTGTTACCCATTTTTTTTGTCCAAAAAATCACCCACCCCAACAACACCTTTCTGCACCTCTTTCCACCTTTCAACCCCAGACCGAAACATTACTTTCCTCACCTCCCCCCCAACCCTACCCGCAAGAGGCGATCCACAGCATCGGCTTCAGAAGGCATTTACACCTCCCTCCATACACCTTGCACCACTCTGCACCTCTACCCACCTGAGGAGATCCACAGCATCGGCTTCAGAAGGCAAGGACCCATACTTACCTCCCTGCAACCACTACCCATTTGCACCACTCTGCACCTCTACCCACCTGAGGAGATCCACAGCATCGGCCTCAAAAAGCAAGGAACCATACTTACCTCCCTGCAACCAGCCCTTACGCACCTCCCTGCACCTCTCTGCACCTCTCTGCACCTCTCTGCACCTCTCTGCACCTCTCTGCACCTCTCTGCACTTCTCTGCACCTCTTCCTCCCGACTAAACCGTTTCATATTCATTATTCCCCGTATCCCACCCACCTGAGTAAATCCACTGCATCTGCTTTAGGTGGCATTGAAGCGCCCACTGCCTTTCTGCCACGTGTCGCATCCCCATTTGCTGCGTCGGAGCCTTCTGCTCCCTCTTCCCCCCCTTCCACAGCAGCAGGTTCAGCAGCAGGGGCGTTAGGGTTTCTCACAGGTGCTGCTACAATCTCCCGTGCTGGAAGGGGGGAGATTACAGGGAAGGGAGGCAAGGGAATGGGTGAATGAAGGGACATTATATTTTGCACTGCAGCAGCGGCAGCAGCAGGGGCGTTAGGATTTCTCACAGGTGCTGTTACGATCTCCCGTACTGGAAGGGGTTACGGGGCAGAGATAGAAGAGGTGAAGGGAAGGGGCGGTATGTTTTTCCAAAGCAGCAGCAGCAGCAGGTTCAGCAGCAGGGGCGTTCTGGTTTCTCACAGGTGCTGCTACGATCTCCCGTACTGGAAGGGGGAGGGGGAGGCAAGGGAATGGGTAAATGGAGGGACAGATTATATCTTGCACTGCAGCAGCTGCAGCAGCAGGGTCAGCAGCAGCAACAGCAGCAGCCGCAGGGGCGTTTGGGATTCTTACGGAAACCCCGGAAAGAGGGAGATAACAGGTGGGAGGGGGCAAGGGAATGGATTAATAGAGGGTCATATGTATTAAGACCCAGCACTGCAGTAGCAGCAGCAGCAGCAGCAGGGGAGTTTCGGTTTCTCACAAGTGCTGCTACGATCTCCCGTACTGGAAAAGGGGCGAAGGGGGGGAGAGGGCAGGAGCAGAAGAGGGAGCAAGCAGGAGGCAGAGGAGATGGGCTAAAGAGCTTTCCACTGCAGCAGGGTTAGCAGCTGCAGCAGCGGCAGCAGCATTGTGCGGTACCGATCAAGGCGTGATTGGGTTCGCCCATCCACCGAAACTAGTTTACGCAAGGAGGCTTTTCGGAAGCTAAGGGTTTTTCCAGATCTGCATTTTTCACACTCGTTTTTTAAGTGTTGATCCTTTGCTTAAGCGTCTTTACAACTACTGCAGCCCTTCAAGTATGAGTCAAGGTGACCCTTGAGATGGGCTAAAGAGTGTTTCCACTGCAGCAGGGTTAGTAGCAGCTGCAGCAGGGTTAGCAGCTGCAGCAGCGGCAGCAGCAGGGGCAGCAGGCGCAGGTGCAGTGACAGCGTGTGGAAGGGGCGCTGAAAGATTCAGGGAATGAAGGTTCGGGTTCAGCAAAATCTAGAAAACTCACCCCCACCACCGACCCCCTAAGACCCCCTGTCTCGGTACACCACCATTGCAGGAGCAGGAGGCGAGAGATATAGGGTGCACTTAGAGGTTCAGGCATGAAGGTTCGGGTTCAATACAAGTTTGAAGACTCACCCCCACCGCCGACGCCCCCTGCTCGCCTCTCTCGGTACACCACCGCTGCACGAAGCGTGTGGTGTGGTGTGTTGGTGTGAGGTGTGGTGTGTAGGTGTGTGGCCGGGTCTAAGAACGATCTATGAGCTCACCCCCACCGCCGACGCCCCCTGCTCGCCTCTCTCGGTACACCACCGCTGCAGGAGCAGCTGCAGCCACCCCAACCCATCCACTGAGAGATTCACGCATGAAGGTTCAAGTTCAATACAAGTTAGAAGACCCACCCCCTGCCTGCCTGTCTCGGTACACCACCGCTGCAGGAGCAGCTGCAGCCACCCCTGAGAAGCGGCTGAGAAGAGTGCCTCTTCTCAGCGACCCCCACAATAGACACACTGAGTAGAGGATAGTGTAAGGCTACTCTGTCTCACTCACCCCAACCCCCACACCACCCACTCACCCCCACCACCGACTCCCCCAGCCCGCCTCTCTCGGTGCACCACCGCTGTAGGAGGCCTGTGGTGTGAAGGTGTGTGGTGTGGTGTGGAGGGTTCTAAGTGTAATCTTTAAACTCACCCCCACCACCGACTCCCCCAGCCCGCCTCTCGCGGTACACCACCGCTGCAGGAGCAGCCGCAGGCGCCCCCGCGACAGACACGATGCCACGTGGCACCTCCTCATTGGCCGATCCCATGGCAACGAGCTTGCCGGCGCGGGCTATGTGCATGTGGTGGGATAGCGCTGTTGGGGCGAGGAAAGACGGTGGCCCCCCGACCTGGGAGAATGCATGAGAGGGGGGAGGAGGACAAGGGAGGGGGGAAAAAGCAATCAGCTTTCCGCAGCGGGCTATGTGCATGTGGTGAGAGAGGGCCGTTGGGGCAAGGAAAGATGGTGGTCCCTCCACCTGGAAGGCGAACGAGGGGAGAGAGGGGGGGGGTGAAGCAGCAACTGGTTTGCCCGAGCGAGCTATGTACATGTGGTGGGATAGCGGTGTCTGGGCAAGGAAGGACGGTGGTCCCCCAACCTGGAAGGAGGACAAGGGAGGGGGGGGGTTGAAGCAGCAACTTTGTTTGCCAGAGTGGGGTGTGTGCATGTGGTGGGATAGGGCTGTTGGGGCGAAGAAGGACGGTGGTCCCTCCACCTGTAAGGGGAGCACGGGGAGGGGTTGAAGCAGCAACTTTGTTTGCCAGTGCGGGGTGTGTATGTGCATGTGGTGGGATAGGGCCGTGAGATATGTGCATGTGCGAGGAAGGGAGGTGGCATCAGTAAGGAAGGGGAGAAGTAAGGAAGGGTAGAGAAAGGAGGGGTAGAGATAAAGAGGGGTAGGTAGACATAATGAGGGGTAGAGAAACGGAGGGCAGCGGAACAGACGGGCACAGGAACAGACGGGCACAGGAACAGACGGGCACAGGAACAGACGGGCACAGGAACAGACGGGCACAGGAACAGACGGGCACAGGAACAGACGGGCACAGGAACAGACGGGCACAGGAACAGACGGGCACAGGAACAGACGGGCACAGGAACAGACGGGCACAGGAACAGACGGGCACAGGAACAGACGGGCACAGGAACAGACGGGCACAGGAACAGACGGGCACAGGAACAGACGGGCACAGGAACAGACGGGCACAGGAACAGACGGGTAGATGAAAGCAGGAATAGGGGAAACGAGGGGAAGAGGAAAGGAGGGACGGAAGGAGGAAGGAGGGTAGAGACAAGGAGGGGGTGCGGGAGTTGGGTTGGGAGGGGCTGGGGGGAAGGAAGGTCCGCGTTCTACCTGAAACCTTGAGGCTGAAGAGCGGGGTTGGGAGTGATAGGCTGATAATTATGATTTCTCCGCACTCACGTGCTTATCCACTTAGGGGATTCAGCAACAAACCTAGCCTGCGGCTTGCCTGTGCGGCCGTGCACTCACGAACCCTCACCCACCTCCCCAAACCCTAGTTTCCCCCCTCTGCCCCCACTCCCCACTAATCTTCCTCTCCCTCTTTATCCCCGCCTCCACACCATTACTGCAGCACCAGCCTAGAAGCTCCAGTCACCGCTTCGGACCGAACCGTAATCCCGTGTGTCCTTCCTCATACCTCTCTCCCACTCGGTATCACCTCTTCCTCCCCCCACTAACCCTCATTTTCCTTCCCCTCTTCCTCCCCCCACGAACCCTAATTCTCCCTCCCCTCTTCCTTCCCTCTCACCCCCCTTCCTCCTCTCCTCCCACCGGCCCTCCCCTCTTTCTTCCTTCCCACTTCCCTTCCTCCCCGCCTCCCACCGGTCTGGAAGTACCACGCACCGCTTCGAACGCCGCTGCAGCGGACGGCAATCCAGAGGGTCCTTTCTCCGGCAAAAATCCAGCAGCCGTTCGTCTGACGCCGCCTATTCTACCGGCCGCTTGCGCTCCTCCGGCAGTCCTACCGGCCGTCGCCGCTCCTCCCGCGTTTTCCTTACCCCCGCTATCCTCTCCGCTCCGCGAAGCTTCTTCTGTCTCCGCATCTTCCGCGTCGTCCGATTCGCTGCCTGACGAATCCGACGAATCGCCTCCCTGCGCGAAAGCCGCGCTTCGTAGACGCGCTTCGTCCTCGTCTGAATCGTAACTTTGAACGAGCTGAAGGCTCATGGCAGCGAGACACTTTCTAACTCCTACGTACTCCCAATTCCTACCAACCCCTAGTACGTGGCTGTATCCTTCTCAGATTATGTTCCTCCTCAAATACAAACACTACTCACGCTGTACAAATCAACAGAGCAATGGAGACTACATTCTTTATATTTCGAAGCCAGTTGGAAAGAACCAGAGCGGGCTTGCGGGTCGTGACCAGGCCTGTCGAAGTTTCTGGGGCTCGTACTTGCGCTCCCCAGCTCCTCCGCATCTGACCCTTGGTTGGGTGTAGGTGTGCGTTTTGGCGCCCTTAACGGTCACGGGCGCACCCCAAAGTGAAAACTTGAAATCCGGGCATATTTGAAGTTGCACTTACACTGTATTTTACTGTGATACGTGCAGTTTTCAACTTATATTAGATGTCAGTCATACCTAATACTACACATGTCTTCAATAGTCATAAAACCTACCTTGCCTGCAATATTATAATTTTCACTAACTACAGATTTAGCATGCAGATTTAACTACCCTACTCTACCTTAACATACAATGCAAGCTTATTTGGCAGGCTTCCTCCCCTTCCTCCCCTTCTCCTCAAACAAGGCATAGGCCGCTGCCCAGTCCACTGGGTAGTCTAGCATCTTCACCGTCATCAGCTCCCCCAGCCTAACATCAGTAAGAGCAACACGATCCCACGACTTAATAATGTTTTGGCGGGAGAAGCCCTTTTCACACTCAACAGTGCTGAGGGGCAACACAGAGACTGCACGCCAGAGGGAGACTATGGTGGGATTGTCATCCTTCCAGTCTGCCGTGCGCAGCATGTTGGTGAGAGCCTGATGGAAGCTCTGCTTCTTGAACTTCTTCTCCATGGTGGCTGTGAAGAGGCGCATCTTTGGCTCTATGTCAGCAAGAGCGACTCCTGCCAAGGACATATACAACAAGGTTAGAACATGCCAATGTTGGAGAAAACCATATTCAAGGTTAGAACATAAACAAGGTTAGAACCTTTACAAGGTTCCTACTCTACCCCTCTCGTCTTACCAGGTAGCTTGTTCTTGAACATGTCAAGGAGCTCGGAGAGATGGAGCTTCACCCACGCGTCCTGCTCTCCTACACGGTCGGGATACTTATCAGGGGAGAAAAAACCAACACCATCGAAATGACGCAGATCCGCCATCCTCTTCCCCAGCGCCTTAATCAGGCGCTGAGCGAAACGCCTCGCCAGGTCCACGCATGCCTCCAAGTCGCATCACCCCCCAGGGTTTTCAGGGTCGATGATGTCATCATGAAGCTCGATCTCGGCTTTTGCATGCTTGCCGCTCTCGTCCACTCCCTTGAGCTCCATCTTGCGCTTGTCCTTGCTGCCGTGTGCAGCAAGGAACTTGTTCAGGCGAGAGGTGTTCGGCCCGTTGGATGCGCCGGGCTCGACGTAGTACTGCGACAGCTTGGTCTTCACCTTGTCGACATGGTTCTTCACCTCTGTAATGTCGACTTGAAAGCAAACAGAGCGCGAAAAAATTAGAGCAAAGCACACAAGTCAAGAAGCGACAACGCCATGCTCATCTGCACCTTACCGCCTGCTTCTGGAAGGACAGATTGAGTCCGTTGAGCAGCGCCAGCATGTCAGCCAGGAGATACAGCATGTAGTGGAACTTGAAGCTGGTAGCGAGTTTCTCCGTCTCGCCCTTCTCCTTCGTCCACATCCACATCAGCACCGGCAGCACGTCACAGAAGCGACTCACAGCATCCCCGCGAGACAACCAACGGACGGTGCAGAAGCCTTGCACCTCCAGGTGCATCTGCAGAATGACATCCTGGAGATGCATGTAGGTCTTGTGATTGGTCGATGAACGCCCGAGACGCTCTACAGTCTGGCGTATCATATGATCTACGACGTTGAACTCCTTGAAGCTCTTCGCGGCATCCTTGGCAGCCAATGCCTCGCTCCACAAGCACGAGACGTGCGTGAGTATGGTTGGGGAGGGGACAGGTGTACAATACGATTAGAAGCAGTGCAGTGCAACCTTACCGCTGCGCCACGCAGTGAATCGCCACCAGCCACGGGCAACGTTTCCGAAGCATGGCGACAACGCCGTTCTTCGCGCCAGTCATCACGGATGCACCATCCGTTGACACCCCGACAAGCTTGTCCAGCGACATGTCCTTCGACCACAAACACTTCACGATTGTGTCGTGCAGTGCTGCGGCGTCGCAAAGTTCGAGTGACAGGAGAGCAAGAAACTGGGACACCACGGCCTCGGCTCTCTCAAACGTGACATACACGATGAGATGCTTTCCACGCGCGCGATCCGTGGATTCATCGAAGGAGAGGCTGTAACAGGCCGACTCTTTGATGTCCTCAAGCTGCTTGGCCACCAGATGCTCCGCCATAGCCTCTACGAACTCGCCGAAGGCGTATCTGCAATGAGCACCGAATGAAAATGTGAGTAAGTTATCCACAATAGAACAGCAGAAGTAGAACAAAGCAGAAGCATACAAACGGAAGCAAAAGCAGGAAATCAGGAGCAGAAACCGAGGCTAACAAGCACGTACCGCGAGTAATAACGACCGTACGATTCGTCGGTCATCATGTCGGGGCATCCTTGCTCCGCCATGAACCGCACCAGCATGGGGTAGAGCGCGATAGGTGCATCGTTCCGCGCAATCCAGTGAGCTCCTTGCATGCATTTGACGACCCTCGCCATGACAAGATCGCTGCTAAGCATATTCAAGAGGCTGCGCTGCCTCACCTCCGTGCCTTCAGAGAGTCGTTCAGCTTCCATGGCCGCGAGGTGCACCTTGGACTGGTCATGGTTGCGGCACGACGACTTCTGAAAATCCCTTGCACCGACTCCAGCACCGCCAAAGGGAGACTTGGTGTTAGGAGCAAACTTACAGCAGACGGAACACTTCATACCATACTGGTGCTCATGTTTGTTGTACTTCAAGCTCAGCCACGAGTACGTCTGCTTCCACGACGTGCTGAAGCGACGTGCAAGACTCCTCTCGGCCTCAGGGATCTCGGTTTCCGGGGGTACTTCTGTATCCTCTGCGATCGCGTTGTCTTGCGCCTCCAACTCCTCAGTAGTGGGTGGTGGCGGTACGCATCGTGCGCGCTTTCGCGTGTCTGGTGGCGGACTAGCGAAGCTTAGGTGAACCTGACGATAACGGGCTGCAGACCTCGGAGTAGACTGTGACGATGAGGCTTGCTGGGCGAGGCACGGGTCCAAGACTGAGATTGCTACGTCTAGCATGTCTTCAGCATCCGTGGCTACGTAGGGCTCGGTCTCGGTTGTAGTATGAGAATAAGAGAAGTTCGCCGTGGGCAAAACTGGAGGAGGGGTTTCACCCTCGCTATGGTCCATGGTGGGAGATTGTGGCTGACGAAGGGAACGGGTTAGCTAGCCAATATATAAACCTCGCGTGTGTGAACGAGGCGACGCGAGCTTTACTCGGCAGAGCTGGTGGGTGGAGGAGAAGTGCCATAGCACGGCACGAACGAAGGTGGAGAGCAGAGAGCTTGGGTGGGCGGTACCGTGGAGGTGGTCAGACGGTGGAGAAGAGAAAACATGGCACGAACAAAAGAGGAGAGGAGTGGGAGGTTGGGTGGGTGGGTGGGTGGTGGTGTATGGAATGCATGGTGGTGGAGAGAAATGGTGGCACGCACGAACGAAGGTGGTGAGAGAGCTCCTACGCTGGAGTGCTTCACTTCCTTTGAGGTGCTCTGGAGTTCTCTGTGGCTGATAAACTTAGCCAGATTCATCCAACCTAATCCTATGTGTCACAACTGTAAACTGCGGCCAGCTCGTATTGGACGCTAAGGGAATGTTCGGGTGCTCCAAGGCTGACTGAGACACACTAAACACACACGAGATTGGCTAGAAAACGCTAAGGGAAAAATCCCCTTGGCGCGCTCTAGTGCAGGCTAAGGAGAAAGGGGGGGGGGGGGGGGGGTCTTGGGCACCCTGGGTGGGGGGGGTCCTACGAGCGGAAACCAAACTTAGATAGGGGGGAAGGCCAGGTTTCGTCCCTTAACGCATCCGGGGAAGGGTCGAATGAAGCACTTAGTGGCACGGGTGGGGTACGAATTCAGAACTTGCCGCATTGGAGCTGGAGCGAAACCAGCCCTTAATGTTCAGGGCATTAAGGGCATATGCCATTGAATCGTCAGGCCTGGTCGTGACCCTTTTTTACTGGCCAGTTTAGGCGAAAGTAGCACATTTGCGACATTCTCATCTGACTTCGTTGAATTCGCGAGATACGGGCGTTGTTCTGCAGGCGTTAAATTGCAAGAAACTGGGTCTGCAGAATCTTCCCCGATAAGTGGGCTTCTGCCTATCAACATTAGATGATAAGCGCGGTCCGGCCAAACCTGCTTGCGCCAAATTTAACGCTGCTTTATGCAGAACGCCACTTCTGGGGCACACAAATTTAACGGGGTGAAGATTCCACGATGTTGCTTCTCCAGGCAAATGTCCGCACAACTTGTGCGGACCCAATTCTGCCTCGAGAAGTAGCATCAGCCAGCGCACAACTTATGCGGGGCAGCAATTTGAGATATTTGAGAGTTTGACGAGACTTCGTGGCAACACCGCCCAGCAAATTGAGAAATTTGACATTTGGTGCGGCGAGAAGCTACGGGGAAGGACTGGGACCGTACATTTGATGCGGAGGCAATAACACCTACAGAACGCGGTCGCGGCCACTATTGGAAATTCGGTGGCTGTTTGAAGGAGTCTACAAAATTCCTGAGGTGTACTCTATTTGAATCGACCAATTTGTCGACCATGCTGTTAAGGGGGGATTTACTGTTCACTTTGAACAGTACTTTCCAACTCACCTTTACTCCTATCTTCCTAGATTTCCTAGTGCCACGTGGCACTCTACTTTCTTTGCCTTCTAGTTCCTAGTCTCACAACCCACTTTCTCACAATTGCTCTTGCATGCTATATCAATATTGATTGTATTCCCTCATATCAATCAATTTTCATTCAGCTCTTCAATTACTCCTATCT